ATATATGATAAGTAGTTAGTTTTAGCGGATTTCCCATAGGCAATAAGCTATTGCCGTAAGTCTCATGGTAATACCTAGACCCGGGAGCGGTGTGAGTGAAAATTTAAAAACGTACGTTTTCAGGAAAACACTTTAATTTTTTTTCAGTTTTTGAAATTTTTTTTATTTTTTTTATTTCATTGACATTTGAAGTTTCATAAAATGTCCATGGTAACGCAATATCTTTGGTGATTTTTTATTAATAGAGCATCTTTGATGGAAGAACACGAAATTTTGTCACGACCATCACGGACATAAAACTGAATATTAAAAATAGTTAAATATTATTTTTATAACTATGTTTTGCTATAAATTAATTTACTTTTATGGCCATTAAAACAGCTCACTAAGCTTTTGGTATATTTGGTCTTTCTAGAAAAAAATTAAAAAAATTGAAAAAAAGCCAATAAAATCTTTTAAGTTTGTATAACTCCGAAAAAACTTACCCGAGACCCGAAAAATAGTTATTTATTTATAGAGGTGTGCTTCTTTTGTGTACAAAACATTGAAATATAATGATATTTTAATTTTTGAAATTTTTATGATAAAAATCATAAACGTGATGGTCAGGAACAAGCGGTACGGTCGTGAATTGTCTGGAATAGGTAATCTACATCTTTCTAAACAATCTTTCAATTATACTGATAGTTATAATAAAAATATGTGTTTCAATTGAACTAATAAACTGTTCAATTTATAATGATATTTAAGTTATTGTCACGACCAAACACAGTATAATCCATAAGGCTGAATTGGTCGTGAAAAACTCGCGATGGTCGTGAAACTTTGGTTGTGACATTACGTGTTATTTGGCTCTGTTCTGGCGGTAGCCCTGCACTTCATGTTCGAGGATAAAAAGTGGACTTCTAGGCAATTCAATCTAGCAATTGAAATGTCTCATAAACAAAAATTAACACTGTGTCTACTTCATCGAATGACTGCGTACGGTCATGGACACACCAAAATTACAAAAAACACAAACTTGCCTTTATTGATCTTGTAAATCCTCCTTTCAACTCGAAAAAACCGGCACTACAAACTTGACGTACACCCCGAACTAGTCTCTAAAACGAACTGACGAAATCGACGCCAGGCTTGCCACTGTCGTGCTCCAAAGTTGAAAATTTTTCCAAATGGTCAAACGCCAAATCGAGGGACAGACTTATTTTGTCATGGTAGTCAGTTTGCAATGACAATAAAATTATAATATAGGCTAGGTACTCCTTTTTTGTAAGTTTAATAACTATTGATGACATAAAAATATGGCTTTATATATTTTGGCATGAATAATTAGTATTAAAACAGCGTGAAAGTTGGAAAATGTACCCTAGGGACACGTCATGGTCGTGAATTTAAAGACTTAAAAAATACGAATAAAATACCTAGAACCTATTTAAAACCAAATAAATGTGTGTAACATGTTGCCCACATCCCAAAAAATATTAAAACACATAATAATAAACTACAAATCCAGTATCTACGAAGTAAGAGGCCAGGGACATGAAAACGTACGTTTTTTAATTTTCACTCAATGTACTTTTTCGTTTTGATGTCCCCAGAGGCCAAAAACATCAGCTATTCAAATTATATTGTTGAATACGTTATAAAACATTAGCACCCTTTTTAATTTATTTTAACTAGAGGTATCCTCGTAGTAAAAAACTCGACCAAATTTTTTTTACCATACTACAATGTTTTTAGCCGTTTTACAAACGTTTATTGGAGGCAGAAAGCTACATATTGCTGCCTATGCCAACTGTCATCGTCATTTGGGGACCGAGCAGGTTTTTATATCCCTAGGGCGTTAAAATCAGACATTCGCTTACTTTCTTAAACATTAATGAATACTTTTAGCTGTTACCCACGGGCTTCACCTCATTTGACTAAGTATAAATAAAACTATTGATTGGTTAAGTTAAGCTGAATGAAACAAACCAGAATATAGTAATACAAACAAATAAGCTGAGGTATTTTTAACATTAGGTATATGTATGTAGTGATGTAAAATTCCCGGGAATATAAAATCGAGGAAATATTCCCTGGGAGCAATTTATGAACTAATTAGCAAGATAGATTTAAAAACTGTTACTTAATAGGTAAAAGCCATTAAAAAGCTGTTATATGGTTAAATCAACCACAAAACATTATAGTAGAAAATTGTAATTGAAATAAATAACCGGGAATTTAAGCTAAATTACTTAAAATAATAGGTCACTGTGGTAGTTGTGTGATAAAAACATATTTATGTAAAAAAAATATTGTAATTTATATACACAAATCAGAAAAATATCCTTTTAAATACCCGGGAAATACAAAATGTTTTTTGAAAAGAAATTTCATACTGTATCAAAATAAAACTACATATTAAAAATAAAAAGATTTGATGATATTTGAATACTTAGGCTATATGATATCTTTGCTTTTCGTATTATTATATATTCCGTATTCCGCCTGATAATTTTATTCTCATCGTCCATCCCTTCCAAAGAAACTTTCTTCAGATTAAAGCCTTCTTTTTCTCTGTAGTCAGCTAGACTTTCTCTTACTTTTAAGATGTCCTAAATTCAAATAAAACCTAGGGCCTCAAGTAGCTCGATAGGGTCAAGAAAACTGCCAGCATCAACGCTGCGAGATGGATCAGTCCAATGGCAATTATTACCTCTCGATGCAGTGATACAGTTTTCAAGGGTTTAAGGGGAGGGGAAAATTCCCCCTTTTACCTAGTAAGAACTCAATTTTCCCATTTCAGCTCATTTCAATTAAATTACTCATAAGAGCTAAACTGTGGTTATGATCAATTTTTACTTCACACTTTCGTTAGAGCACTCTTACATTCTATTGTAGATCAAATATAGCTCAATGTTTACTGATCTGGACTTCACCTCCTCATTAGAAATTTTAAAATTCTTTGGTTTCCAATGTTTTAAATTTAATAACTAATTTAAGTTTACTATTATATTTAGCTTTAATTTAGTAGGCCTACAGGTAAAATGGGGTTTTATAAACAACAAAATTTGTACATTCCCGACGAGTCCCCAAAATTTTGGGCGTCCTAAGGCCCTTTTTGTTCTGATGGGGGTAATTCCTGAATAATTTTGTTTTTACGTATAAGGTCGAGTGAGGTGTCGTTTTCGATGGTTTTCGTTATTTTAAAACGATTGGGACTAGTTTTAAGTGTATTAAACCACTCCATACAGGGTGTTCACAAATAGTATTACTTTTTACGATATTTAAACACTATTTCATAAAGTAATAACATTAATACCTTTACGCTCTATATAAAAGAGGATTATTGAGAACAACTGTAGCCTAATTCTTTACTACGTACTATGTAGCCTACATACTACTACTATGTACTATGTATATATATTGTTTTTTTATATCTTAAACGGTTTTACACGTTGTGGACTTATTTTTTCATTGTGCGTGTAAAAGAAATGTTTTTTTTTTTTTTGTCGAGATGCAATCTATCCCTTTTTTGGGTAAAAGATGAAGAAGGAGTAAGTAAGTACGTAACGAGGAAGGATTACAAGGAGTAAGAGAAAATATAAATTCCCCGTCACAGCAAACCTGCAGACTAAGCGAATTTTTCATTTACTTTAGTTGGTTTTCAATTAAATCAATTGCAATAGCATTGCGTTTAACGATTACCTAGGTTTTCTGCTACAAGGAGGCTAATAAAGTGTGTTATTAGTAAAATTTTAATAACTTAGCCTACTTAGTATAAAACAAATAAATTTTACAAGTTTGGTTAAGACATATCCTATAAACAAACATCCTAGCCTAATTCATTTTACACTATTCTCCTTAAGAATAACATCCGGGAATTTTAAATTTACAAATTTTGAATTTTATCCGTAACCACTAACCAATAAACCGTACAAAAACACATTAATATAGGCCTACTAAATTATATGTTTTTTAAGCTCTTTAAAATGGTTTAGAGAAAAATTTAGAAACTTTGTGTTTTGAGGGTCAAAGGTAACAAATTTTTACCACATAAAACCCTGTTCACATGGTCCGATTATGCCAGTTTCGTTAAAATCGAACCACAATTACTCGAGTTAGGGGCCTATCATGTTTACGGACATTATTATTGGTACTTAAGTGATGCCCTTTCTTAATATTCTGACACCTCAAACGTTAAAATCCGTCAAGCCGTTATCGTGTTATGACTGTGAAAAGAAAACTGCTTGCGTATTAATATATGGATTAATATAACCTAATAGGCTACACTAGTTAGTTAGTAAGTACCCTCCTGGTCTTTGAAAACTAACCAATTTAACTGCATTTTACATATAGCTTAACTAATCCACTATTCAAAAGATCTTAGGCCTACTATAGCCCCGTTCACACGGGGCGAGTTTACAAGCTACACGCTCAAAAGCTGCTTGTAAATAAGCTCTGGAAAAAGTTGACGCTGCCGCTACTTTACACGCCAACTCGCCAGCTTTTGAGCGAGTAGGCGTGTAAAGTAGCCTAGTGTGAACACAGTTACTTGTGCGCATATTATTCAAAGATATCGGAGGATTTGGTTTAAGCTAGCTAGACTACTGAGCGAGTGGAAAAAGCATCGTGTGAACGACTACAAGCGCACTCGCCGGCGTCTTTCTACATGTTAGCGAGTGGACAATCTCCGTGTGAACGAATAAAAGCACACTCGCCAACTCGCCGGCTTCTTACATGCTGGCGAGTAGCTTGTAAACTCGCCCCGTGTGAAAGAGGCTTAAAGGCCCATACTGAAAAATCACAAAGAAACTGAGTGATTCCTGATTTCCAATCTTTTGCTTATAAGATGCAACTGGTAAAAGTACACTATTAAGTAGGCCTAGGCCATTAATGAAATAGAAAACTGGTAAATAAGTTTTAGGGCCTAAGTGTAATTATTAATCTACTTGTGTTTATTATTTTAATTCTAACTTAAAGTAATTAAAAAGCTATAAGTTGCTTAAATTACTCACATTTGTTAAGTCCTTTGGTGTCAAAATAGTCAATTCATGTGACCTAGAAATTATTTTTTAATTAGGTGACTGTAGCATAAAGAAAAAAGAAAGCTGATACTAGGATGCCTGGAAAATATACAAACAAGGAGCACTTTCGATATTTTAATTGAGTTATAACTAACCTATTTAAGAGGTTAATCCCCTTGACATACTACACAGCACTGGTCACATACAAAAACAACACACAACAACTCGCCACTCGCGACGCGACGGAGAGGAAAACAACGAGTGCAGACGCAGGCAGACGGCAGCAGCAGACGCTGCACTAATAGAGAAACCCTTCCAGACAGACCGCCACCACCCACCACCACCCACCATCGCTCGAGCGAACACCATTACCGCAACAATACGTTGTACAGCCATCGGTCTCGGTGGTGTGGATAGCGCACCGGGCTGATAATACCATAGATTAAACACACTTTATGTTTAATCTATGATAATACGAAGGTAGCCGGGTCGAGACCCACTAGAGGCATGGGAACGCGCAAGGCGCCACCACGTCAACCCGCCATCAAAAAGAAGAAGACAGTTGGGACTATGTGGCTGCGGTAAGTGTGGACAGTATTGCAGATCACAAGCATGTTCTGCTGTCGGTCACTACTCCGAATGTGGATCAACATCACCAGGTGTCCTCAAAAGTGGTATCCTTCAGAGTCTACAGTGAGGAGGCAGAATTTAAACTTATAGAATACCTAGAACTGAATGCACATTTCTGGTTTGATGAAATCAAAGCATTGACGGCAAATGATGCTTTCATGTTTTTTCATGTCAATTTCAACATGGCCTTTGATCATTTTTTCCCAATAAAATGTAAAAAGGTGCATGTTGGCAAGTCAGGGGTTTCTAAAAATAATGGTTTGCCTGTTGTTAAGGACTGGTATACCCCTGAACTCTCTAGGCTAAAGAACATGATAACTTTAGTTAATGATTTAGTTAGTGTAAGACCTGATCTGTCTAACTTGCTTAAGCTGCTTAGAACACAATACCGTAAGAATGTGAGGGATGCAAAGATCAACTCAAATGCCGCATACATAACAGGGGCTTCCAATCCCTGTAAGGCGGCCTGGAATTTAATAAATCAAAATAGACCTCAAACAAAGTCTGATATTCTTAATCCGTCTTTTGCATCTGCTGATGAATTCAATTCGTACTTTGTTGAGTCTGTTGAGTCCATCTTGTCAACCATTCCAAATATAACACAATCCTCTCCTGTGATCCTGTCAAGCATACCTGATGGTGCACCTACTTTTGAATGGAAACATGTATCGGTCCAAGACATTATTAATGCTGTTATGGGCTTTAAACTCTCTAACAGTAAAGATGTGTATGGCATGACACCTAATCTTTTGAAACACATTGTGTGGGCACTGGCACCTATACTAGCCCATTTGGTTAATGTATGCTTTTTAGTAGGTATTTTTCCTGCTCCATTAAAAGTCTCTAGAACTGTGCCTGTCTTTAAAAAAAGGGTCCCGTGACAATGTTGCAAGTTATCGACCAATATCGTTGATTCCTGTATTTTCTAAACTGTTTGAAGCTATTATGTTTGCTCAATTGTACGACCACCTTGAAGCACACAGCCTTCTGGTGCCTGGTCAATTTGGCTTCAGGAAAGCCAAATCCACTATATTGGCTGTTAATTCTATTGTACAATTAATTGTTGATGCTTTTGAGTCTAAGAAATCTACCTCCGTAATACTTTGTGACCTCTCTCGCGCTTTTGATTGCGTGTCACATGAAATTTTGCTCCTGAAATTGGGAAAATATGGCCTAGAAGGCAGTGCTTTGAGATTGGTCAAATCCTACCTCAGTGATCGCCAACAGGTTGTAAGTTGGAATGGTATTACATCTAAACCATTACCTGTAAGACACGGGGTTCCGCAAGGTTCCATTATGGGACCTCTGTTATTTTTAGTAACAATCAATGACCTCTATACCAGACTTGAAGGTAATTGCATGTTGTATGCAGATGATACTTCCCTTATATCATGTAAAGTGACCCGTGAACAAGCAGAGCTGTAAGAAGATTTTTGAGTCAGCCTCAAATTGGTTTGTTGACAATAAATTAGTGCTCAATAATGAGAAAACACAGTGCATAACATTTAGCCTATGTGATTCCCAGATTGTTCCTTTCCAAGAGCCTGTCAAACTCCTTGGTATAACCCTTGACCCCTGTCTCAATTGGAAAGACCACATAAGCCAAGTCTGTACTAAACTAAGTAGAGTAGTACATCTTTTAAGACGTCTAAGTGACCAATTGCCACAGAGTACCCTTAGAATGTCCTTCTTTGCATTTTTCCAACCTCACATATCCTATGGGTTAATTTTGTGGGGCCATTCACCCAATGTCGAAAAGATCCTGCGACTGCAAAAGAGGGCAGTAAGGATTCTCTGTCATGCTCACTATAAAGAACACAGTAAGCCCTTGTTTAAGAGACAAAGAATTCTGACAGTTGTAAATATGTATATATTCCAATGCCTTGTTAGTATTAAGAACAGCATGAATGATTTACATGTAACCAGTTCAGTGCACAATCATGACACTAGGTTTAGTTCTAAGCTTGTCATTCCTCGGTCCAGGACTGATAAAAGAGCTAGGTCATAGGCCTACCCTGTTTCAGGAATAAAACTGTTCAATCACCTTCCTGGTCATGTGAGAAATCTGGAAAGAAAGAACTTCCAAACCGCAATATTTGATTGGCTGATTGAAAATCCTTTTTTCAAATTCAAAGAGTTTTTTGAAACTGTATTTAGTTAAGTTTTCCTCTGAACAGCCTGTTTGCTATTTTTGCATTGTGCATGCATTTTGCATGAACTGCATTTGTTTGCCTTGAATCTTTTTGTGCATGGTCTTGAACATATTTTTTTTCACATGGTTGGTTTTGATCGATTTTTGCTTGGTTTGATTTTTAAGTCTTGATATTTATTTTATTTTATGCTTGTACATTGACATAGCCTGTAACAATGTTGTTGTTGATTGGCCTAATAAATTCATTGTATTCATTGTATTCAAGAAGAAGTTTGAGGTGGCGGGTTGAAGTGGTGGCTCGTTGTTGAGGTGGCACGTTGACTCTTCTAGCGTGCACGACAACCCGCCACCTTGTAAAAATGTGTGGTGGCAGGTTGTGGTGGTGGCACGTTGTCCTGGTGGTGCTTAGACGTGTTCATACCACGACAACCCGCCACGTCATAAAATAGTGATGGCGGGTTGACGTGGTGGCACGTTGTCGCTTACATGCGAGGTGGCGGGTTGACGAGAGTTAACATGGGGCGTACACGACAACCCGCCATCTTTGTTGGCAAAAGCCGCTGTTGTCTGTGTATTATAAAATGCATAACTTTTTGCAGTATTTGGACATGTGTTATCGAGTTTACTTTTAAGTTAACTCGACATTAGTTATTGTTAATTCATTCATTTTCGAATCGTAAAGTACACGCATCCACGCAAGACAATGTTTCCTTTTAACTACAGTTATTGTTTAAAAAAGTTGTAAGATAAACTCTCTACAAATAACGATTAAGGGAAGGGTCATTCTAGAATTAAAATAACAATATTTGTCATGTTTTCGCATATTTTTATTGAAGACAAAAACATGAAACTTTAATAATTTTGAAAAATTAGTTATTGTTTCTTAGGATTTTCTGTAGGTGTATACCTGGTATAATACCCATGTTTATTTTATTTTTCAGCATTATGACAATGAATTACAAAATAAGTTACCTAAAAACTTCATTAACTAATTGTAATTCACGTGTGTATGGCCTAAACAAAAATTATGAAAATGTATTGCTCAGTTATAACATCCAAACCATTTGGCCATCAACCTCCTAGACAACAGTCATGTCTACAGATTAAAAAGTGGAAATGTTTTAGACCTTCCGACTCGATTTGTAGCAGCTCTGAAATTTATTAAATAAATTTTTCTTTGCTTTTTAGCGAATTTCCCTATAGGGAAGTAGCTACTACCGTAGGTGGCACGGTAAGACCTAGGCCCGGGACCAATTTACTTTTTCATTTTGATGTCCCTAGAGGCCAAAAACACTATTCGTTCAAATTGTTATATATGTATATATATATTTTATATATATGTCCGTGAACGCGATAACTTGAGTAATTTTTGTCCGATTTTGATCAAATTTGGTTTAAAGGTGTAAGGCGGGATAAACTTGAATGAATTAATTAATAAACGCGAACCAGCATGATCGGACCATGGGAACGGGGTATTAGGGGGGTTTTATGGGGTCAATAATGGTTTTTCTCATTTTTGACCCTCAAAACACAAAATTTTCTAATTTCTCTCTAGACCTTTTAAAAGAGCTTAAAAAAACATAAATTTAGTATATCAAAGTGTTTTTTAGGGTTATTGGTAACGGAGAAAATTAAAAAAATAATAAATTTAGAATTCCCATGTTATTCTTATGGAGAATATTGTAAAATGTTGTAGTTTGCTTGTTTATTGACATGTTTTGATAAATCTTGGCAAATATATTTATTTTATACTAAGCTATAAATATTTTACAAAAAAACACACTTTATTAGTTTCCTTGTAGCAGCAAACCTAGGCACTCGTTAAACCTAATGTTATTAGATTTGAAAATCAATTCAGACAAATGGAAATTCGCTTAGTCGGCTGGTTTGCTGCAACGGGGGTATTTTTGTTAGTGCTAAAGCTCTTTGGCTGCTAAGTCATGTTTTCAAATTTTTTATTTATTTATATAAATGTCATCATATTTACTTATTGTTTAATGTAAAACAGATTGTAAATAAAACTTTGTTAAAAAAACAAAAATAAACAATGAACATATTTTTTTAAGATGCATTTATTTCTTACCAAAATATTAACATAAAAACTTTGTTACCCTCCCTGTTGCAGCATACCTTAGTACTCGTTAAACTAATTCTATTAAATAGGGAATAAATGTGATATTTTAAAGGAGAAATCATAGTGTAAATCCAAACAGGCAAATGGAAATTCGCTTAGTCTGCAGGTCTGCTGTAGCGGGGGTATTTACTTTATATCGGTGTAGGTAGTTAAAGGCGGCCGTGGTAGTACCTTATTGTTTCGGTTACATATGATGATGCATTCTTCTGCCTTCTGCTGCAGCTGCTTGCTCCTTGCTTGCTGGCTGAATGCTATGCTGCCCTGCTGAGTGAGTAGGGTAGTTTTTGTTTTTAGTTTAGTGTAAGTGTAGGTAGGGTAGGGTTATGTATGACGAAATGTGTGTGATATGATATCGATGTAATGTCCATGTCTGTGTCGGTTCTTTTGTTAAAAGGTTGCCGACGGTAATAAAAATGGCTTCCAGGGGTTTGTTAACATTTTTTGGTATTAGACACGTTACCAAGCACATAACTGTCCATCCAAAAGTACGTTTTTCTGTTAGATATCAGCAAAAATGTAGTGACTGTGGTCAGTTACTTGGTGCAGCAGCAATCCTATCGACATCTAGAAGTCTTGTTTCTGATAACCAAGGTAAGGATTTTATCAGCTTAAGCTTACTTATGATTGGGAGGCCCTTGGCTCTATTTGTTTATTAAGTTGCATTGAGTAGACCTCTGAAAACTCCTGATTAAATCAATAAGTTTAGCCTATAAGTTAAGGCCCTATCCATGTGACATGGGCCCAGACCTAGGCTAGCCTTAAGTTAGGCCTACTTCTTTTCATAGTCCTAATTCCTTGAGGGCAACCACAATCCTCACTTGGTGAGGGGGCTTATGTCTAATTTCACAGATAAAAACTAAGTAGGCCTAGTGATAAGATTAAGTTAGGTTAGAAATTTTGACAATATTTTATTCCGTACATCTAAGTTAGGGACAATGGTTAAACATGTCATTTTGATATGTTTACTTACAGTTGTTTGCACACTGAATCTTAAAATGCAATCAGTTTTTGTCAGAGCGATTCCTAAGTAGCTGTAAAACAATGGTTAAAATTACGAATTTAAGGTAGGCCTATATCGTGCGGTACGGCAGTACTGATGGTCATATGGTGGTCTGGATGGGTCCGTATGTGAACTGAGGTGAGCAAACAGCTGTTTATAGGTCTACTCGACTTAATTTGCTCAATGGAATCAATTCTTTCCCTGAAAGAATAATTTGTAGCCTACAAGGACTTGTTTGCAGACTAAGTTTTAATCAGCTCTTATTTAACTTAGGCATGTAGGGTAGCCTAGGTAAGTTAGCCTAAGTAAGGTCGGGTTTTATGCCGATTCATTACTGTAAGTTATTAACTTAAATGTTTTGAAGTTAGAACTTACTTAGGATGTTAAAGTTTAGGTTATAATTAACTTAAACACAACAAAGTTTTAACTTAACAATTTTAATAATGCAAAAACAGCCTGGAGTTAAAAAAAATTAATTAATGAGTCGGTTCATTCAGTAGCGGCTAGCCCATAAGGACTCTCGGACGCCGCCCTCCCAACAATACAGAAATCAATATTTTTTTTATTTATGTAATAAAAAAATAATATGTCGTAATTAAAATTAAATTACAATTACTTACGACTACTTAATCAATATGATAATAATATGAAATGAAATAGTTTTAAATTTTGAATCCAGTAATGACTGTTTTGCGATAGTCGCTTTCATAATGTGGATTGCGGACGGCGGCAACCTCCGTCCCAAACTCAATGCATGTAGTCTTATGGTAGAAACACCTAACAGCGCTGAGGGTGCCGTGACGTCATTCCAATGCTTTACAATAGGGACTCTGGGGCAGAGTCCAAAGCTGCGCGCGCATCCATAAATCAGGGCAGCCACCCTAAACTGGATAATTCTGCATCACACACGATTAGGATAGGAAGAACCATGTTGGCAGCGCTGGAGCCATCATCCACACTGTCACTACCATAAACATTAACTAACCTCACTTCTTTCCATGTCCATGACCACAGTTCAGTTATAGTTTAGTGCCAAACGACCTGTTGTTTTGTGATCAATAGTGTTTAGTGATAGTGATGGAGGCGTAAGGAAGGCAGCGGTAGTTTGTTGAAGATTGAAAGAGCTAAGTAGAAATTATTAATAGTTATACTTAATTGATTGAGTTAGTTAGTTGGTATCTTTGAGTCAATAAGTTACGTCTGTAGTTTTAGTATAGGCTAACCTAATCAACCCGAAAACTAAGTAAACTAACCATAGGTAAAGTGACTCGGACAATTTTAGTTATAGTTACTTATTATTAGTCTTAATAAGTTATTACGGGTAAATTTGCCGTGGGTTGAAGGCCTAAATCTAAATAATAATGGACGGCGGCATTTCGTTGTCGTCGACGGCTAACGTCACTAACGAAGTTAGCCTGATTATCAATGAAGGGATCAAAAATATTGACCACAGAATTTCTTTGAAAAAATTAGGACCTCCTAGACCTTTCATGAACATAAACCAAATTCAAAACAGTTCAAAGAATAAGAATAGCTTCACACGAAAATTTTCGCCACATATGTACAATCATGCAGATTGGCTATGTGGTTGTTCAATTAAAAATTCATTTTTCTGCTACACTTGTTTGGTCATGGGGGTTCAAGATAGAGCATGGACTGTAGACGGCATTTCAGACCTTAAACATCTACTGGAAAAAGTAAAAAAACACAAAACAAGTGAAAAACACATAAATGCGCCAATAGAATATGCTGTTTTAGGTAAAGTTGATATTAGATGCCAATTGGACAATGCATATAGGTTAAAAATACAAAAACAAAATGAAGATGTTTCGAAAAATCGATACATTCTAAGTAAGCTAATTGATGCAATTAAATTTTGTGGAGCGTTTGAATTAGCATTACGAGGACATGATGAACGCGAAAATTCAAAAAATCCTGGCATATTTCGTGGTTTGGTTAACCTTATGGCGGAGCTGGATGTAACATTGCAACAGCACATAAATCAAACAAATAACCGAGTGTTTTTGGGTCTGTCTAAAACCATACAGAACGAGTTATTGGACTCAATATATTACGTTTGTCTGCAAATGATTCGTGACGAATTGACACAAACCGACTATGTTGCTATTGAAGCCGACGAAACAACAGACTGTGCCACTTTATCCCAACTAGTATTTGTTATTAGGTACGAGCTGAATGGCACGATTCACGAGCGATTTATCACTTTTATTAGACCAAAAGGCCATGATGCAGAATCAGTTAGGCTAGCGAAACAATTTTTGAAGTATTAGAGCAATTAAACCTCGACAAAACTCCTGATAAAGTCATTGCCCAGAGCTACGATGGGGCTTCCGTAATGAGTGGCCAACACACGGGAGTACAAGCGCGTGTAAAATCTAAATATAAGAATGCAAATTTTGTCCACTGTTACGCACATCAATTAAACTTAATCATTGAACGCAGTGCTACACAAAATAAGCAGGTTAAGATATTCTTCAGTAATATCGAGGGGTTTTCATCATTCTTTTCCCAGTCAACAAAGAGAACTGCAGTTCTCGATGAGATAGTAAAACGTCGTATTCCAAAAAGCTCAGGTACTCGGTGGAATTTTAAATCCAGAATTGTAAGCACAATTTTTAATTATTAAAGAGAGTTGGAGGAATGTTTAAGTTACATACTCGACGATGACACCAATGACTATGCCACAATAAATAAAGCTGTTGGCCTAAGAAGTATTCTAAAAGACGAAGACTTTATTTTCTGGCTGGACTTTTTCAATCAAATACTGCCCCACAGTGACATTCTGTACAACCAACTGCAGCAAACAACAATTGATTGCGTCAAGGCGTTTAAGTTTGTCGGCGATTTCAAAACTGTGGTAGATCGCGTAAGAAACTCGACCATGTTAGATCAACCGAGAGATAGTGAACCCGAATCGAGCAAAAAGCGGAGAAGACACGACGATCAAAAACGCGTCGTCGCAAAGGAAGTGTGTGACATAATTACGTCGGGAATTGATGACCGTTTTACGTTTGTAAATCATTTGTCCGCGGCAAAACTGTTTCAGCCAAGTTTGTTTGGGGAGTTTAAAACCAAGTTTCCCGAAAAAGAGTTACACGCTGCTGCGGAACTATTTAGCCTAAATAAAACTGAATTGAAACAGGAGTTAAATGTTATTTACAATAGGGATGATTTTTCAACGGCCACAGGGTCATTAAGACTACTCAACTTTGTCTATGACAACAACCTCAAAGATGTGCTTCCAGAGTCAATCAAACTTTTAAAAATCATAAGCACAATACCTATGACTACTTCGGAAAGTGAACGTTGTTTCTCTACTTTGAAACGAATTAAAACGTTTACCAGGAGTACCATGAAACAAGACAGACTAAGTGCGCTTGCTATGTGTTCTATCGAAAAAAAGCTGTTGTCAACTTTAAACTTCAACGAAAAAGTAATAGATCACTTCGCCGGGCAGAAAGAAAGGAGGATGGATTTCACATTCAAACAGTACAATTAAAGTTAGGCCTTATCCTCATGGTATGGTTTTCTACTCATATTGCCGTGGATGTTTTAATATACAATACAATTAGTCAAGCCTTACCCTCATGGTTTGGTTTTCTATTCGTTATTGCCGTGGGTGTTTAAATTATACAATTCAATCAATGTCAGGCCTTACCGTTTGGTTATCTACTCATTATTGCCGTGGATTTTTTACTATTAAATTATCAATTGTTAGTTATATTTTCAATACAGTGTAGTCCCGTTTTACAAGGCCGTAGGCAGGGAGGGGGGTTAGAGGGTCAAACCCCTCCCCCAAAATTCCGAAATTGAGCAGTACAAATTAAAACTAGGTTTAAAAAGTTGAATTATGAAATAGAAACCACAATAGAGGATTAATTGTTATGTTTTGCAATATCTATTCATATTTAATATAGGCCTAGTTCTATTAGGATAATAAATCTGATCTATTAAATAAATTGGTAAAAACTATTTAAAAAATATACTTTACTTTACTCTACTTATGTCTATTTGCTCATGCATGACAAATAACAGGTGAAATGGGAGTTTTTGGACTATTATTGGACACAGTTTTAGGCGTTAAAATTGCTTCAGAAAGTCACCAAACGGCTTTAAAAATTTAAAAATTTAAACAAGGTAAAAGGAGTATTAGCATTGTTTAAATGGAGAAAAGTGGTCATACATTTAGAAAAGAAGACATTTCTCTGTTATTATTTATCCAATCTTAAGAAATCAGGTATCATTGAAAACTATATAAAATTTACAAACTTTTTTGTCTCTTGCAATTTTTTTGTAAAGTTAACGGTTTTCGTGAAATTTGGCATCAAATATTTTAAATGGCCGCCATTTTGAAACTGTTAATGATTTTTTAGTATAATTTCTAACGATAATAGGTCTTAATAAGATTAACATTTATGCAAAATATCAAAGCTGTATCTCAAACCGTTTAGGAGTTATTAGTTTTTTTGTAAAAAACACATAAATACCGACAGTCGGTAAACTAGACACCACAGACCCATGTTCCTATGGTGAAATGTGTTTGTCTTGACCTAAGGAATAACGCTATATACAAGTGTCCAGAGAGTTACGGGACACCCTGTATAATACGTGAAGGCGATTTCTACAAAACACTACTCCTCTGTTATTAATGGACGGACTTTACAAACGATGTGTCAAAATGAAGTAGCCTATTGTTTGTGTAGATGCCCCCTTTCACCAATTCCTGTAGTAAAAGTCCTCGGGCTTTGCCCCACAGGCCATTAAAATCCCAATGTATTAAAAGATTTTGTATAGTTAAACGGACAAATAATTTGTATTTATTACAGCTAGCTGTTCATAGTAAACACAAAAATGATACACACAAGAGCTTTTGTTTTCAGTTTCGATAACTGGAGTGGAGTGATTGATTAAACATTAGAGTTGACTCTTTTAACTTAAGTCATCGGAAATTATGACTGTTATTAGTTTTGAAATAACGCCCGTAATAATTTGCAATTGCTCGAATCCGAGCAACAGGTGCACTAACTTAGTATATTTGATTACAGTAGTTGTTGATAGGCCTACATCAAATTATGCCCTATGACATGTTTTCACTTTAAGGCACTGTGACATTATGTACTAGGCCTATAGGAAGTTTTCACTTTTAGACATTGTGTGATTGCGTTATGGCACGTTAGTTAACAGACATTGAGGCTTGAAGTGAGGACGATCATGTTGTTTGAAGTTAGCAGTGGCATAGCTTCTATTCCCTTGTATCTTAAGAAAATAAATTCCATTTCTTTATAATTAATGTTCATGTGATTAATTAATAGTTTATGTATCGTAGTTGTGTCACTATATTTTCAAAATGGCATTCAATTCGATACAGTAGGCCCTACCTTACTTGTATATTGTTGTTAAGATTTTGCTTTACGTCCTCGTGTGTGGTTTTGTTCCTTTTTTTATTTAATACTAGCTGGCCCGACAGGCCTTGTCCTGTCCTAATGTGGTTTTATGTCAAATACTCGTTCATTTTCAAGATGCGCTTGTTCACATGGCTTAATCACGTCTTGGTTGAAGTTCGTTTGCTACGCTCACTCACCTTTAGGTTAGAGCTCGTTCGCTGAGTTCACTTGCCTTCAGGCTAGCTCGTTCGCTATGCTAACTCACCTGCTTCCAGCTTGAAGTTCGTTCGCTTCGCTCACTCACCTTTTGGTTGCAAATTAGCTGTCATAAATTTAAAAAAAATAATAGTGCTGCACCCTGTTGGTAAACCTATTAAATTTTTAATGCTAATGAACATCACAGAATCAAATTCTTTAGTTGAAACAGCTGTTAATATTCTTTAATTCCATTTAAATATGAATACTTATAAGGTTAACATGGGAAACTCCAGAGCCACTGGGGCGGAGCCCTTTTGACGGATCTGCACCAAACTGCACACAAACCATCCTTGAATAATGCTTAATAATACCTGAAAGTTTCATTACAATCTGTTTGAGCAGTTTCGGAGTCCATAAAGGACAAGCAAACAAACAAACAATCAAACATACATTGTATTTTATACAGGGTTAGTAAAAAGTGTGAAGACCCCCTGTTATTTTTTTAATGGCCCATACTTGAAAAACTAAACTCGGCACACCATTATGGCATGTTATGAAGTACTTTTGGGGCATAACCGCCACTTGGCGTTTATCCCCAAAATGGGGGATTTTGGGGGAAACTAGAAAATTTCAAATACAAAGACCCATCGAGTGACCCCTCATTTTAAAGGTCCTGGTAAAAGAAAACCAACAACGCAAACTAGAGGTCTCTATCTCAGTTCAGTAAAAAATGGCAGCCAATTGAAATTCTCATAATGGAAATTTTCATTTCATACCTGATTTTCGGGACGTGAAGGAGATAGAATTATTCTTCTTGTAAAACAAGAGACAATTTTGTTTAGTTCTATTAGAAAATCTCAAGTGAAAGTTTTGCAATTGACTATAAGCATTAACTATTGCTATACGGTAAATTATAAACAGGCCCTAAAATAAATATTCATTTGTTTTTTTTTCACTATTTTAACTGTTATGTCATCATGACTGATCCGTGATCGTAGCATTTAATCGTTATCTCTCTCTCGCAGTGGAAGTATCATCATCTCCAATTGCCATAATGGAGAAATCTCCTCAACCGCGACAAATTCATGAGACAACATACAATTTTTGCCTTAATAGCAATGAAATTGTGAACATTTGTAAGGCCAAGCCAATATTTAAGTACAACTAGATAAATAATGTACCTATCAAACTTTTAAACCTCAAGCCGGGTAAATTTGACTAGTTGTAGTTGTCACTCTAACGTTTAGTAAGTTTTGCAATAACATCTATGGACATTAAACTGCCTTTAAGTAACGTCCTGTGATATTGGTTGATAAGTTTAATCTTAGAAGCTACTATAGCCTAGGCTTAGTGATACTGTCCAATTGTTTTTTCCTTTTGTTTGTTTGCTATTTTAAATTGTGATAGCCAAGCAACTATCAGGTCTGTTACTGTTCGCAGTGTTAGCTGGCTTTGGTGGTCAACTTGGACATAGAAAACTCCATACAAGTCATCAACTATTTAAGAAAAAAGACTATTATGAAGTTCTTGGAGTATCCCGCAATGCATCAGTCAAGGACATAAAGAAATCATACTTCCAGCTAGCCAAAAAGTACCATCCAGATACCAACAAAGATGCAGACGCAGTCAGAAAATTTCAAGAAGTCTCAGAAGCCTATGAAGTAAGTTTTTTTTCTGTAAGTAATTAGGCTACGTAAAGGTTTTATCCTCTGAGAGTGCTGCATAGCTTTCTAAATGACCTGGTTTGTACTTTTTTGCGTACAAATTATATTGGTTACTGGTATCAGTATTGTCAGCCTTTACTGTGCATGACACACCATTCTAGGAACACTGTCACATACTTTAAATTTGCCATCCTTCATCTCCTCATTTCAGTCTGGTGACAGCTTTTTTCAACAAACAATTAAGTCAGCTGAAAACTATTTAAATTAATATATCATATCTGTAGGGATGGACGAGATTGGATTTTTAGTTCGAGACGAGACGAGACGAGACGAGATTTTTTATTTCTCATAAAATTTTGAGACGAGATCGAGACGAGATTTCTCTTCTCATACACAACGGGAAATGCACGTTCGAAATTTTTACCTGATTTTGTAACATTGTTAGATGACTGTTTAAATACTAAAATAATGATAATAGGCAAGAATATTTACAATCTTTCATTAAATAACATCAGCATAACATTTTTTTATTAATCACGCCTAACTTATTAAAAATGCCTACGATTAGGAAACATGGTGATATCAGTTAGGATAGAGTTCAACTTATCCTAAAATAAAATAAATCATAAAATAAAAGCAATATTAATTTTTATAAAATAGTTACTTGTTTTGACTTTTTTATAGTAATAAAACATTCCTCACACTGCTTACACTTAACAAAACTTCTCAAATGTTATTAAAGTAATATTATTAAAATAACTAGCTGTGTGCCCGTTCTACGCACGGGGATCTTATTGTAGTCAGTTATTGAAACCTTTTTATTAAGAACAGAATTTGGTTTGCATATTTTCAGATATGCTGGCAAAACTACTTTAAATAAAACTTCGCAAATAAAATATCTGACAGTTTCAAGCCAAAACAAATGCTTCGAAATTAAATGTAACCTGGGTCGTGTTGGTTCATATGTTAAATCCAATGATTAAACTAAAAAAATGCTTTATAGATCTATGAGGCATAGCCCTAATGTAGGCCTATAATTGAAAGTTACCTTCCACAATGGTTAAAAGTATTTAAGGTACTATCTCAAACTCCCAATTTAACACTTTATTCGTGTTGACATTTTCATTATGAAGGTACTTTTGTCCTTTCCGTGAAACACTGAGAAATAAGGACATTAATGCGTTACTAACAGACATACAACGTTTTGATATACACAAAAATACAGAACTTAATTAGGGAATTTGCTACGCTTTAGTTTAAAAGCATAACAAAGTATTTGTAAAATTAGTATCTGAAATATTTGTTAATGTCATCAAATTTCATCATAACAATGTATATTTGCTTGGACCGATGATGACCCGAAATGACGGCTTACTAACTTATAGCCTATGAAATGAAGTACTGTACTATAGACGATTGTTAATTATTTATAGTAAATATTACCAAAATAGGCCACGAACTATTGAAACAACGTAAAACGTTTAAACAATTCATGATGGTTTGCTGAATAAATGTTTTACTAAAATTCGTTATCGTTTTCTTAGCATAAACTAACATTTTGGAATCAAGAAAGAAAAAGCAAAAATTGCACTGTTAAGACATAAATTAAATTGAATAGCCTGTAATAATAAATAAGGTGCAACACCAACGATAACTAATTTGTAAAGTACAGTGATGTGTTGGTACTTAAAAATGATTCTTGCTGCTACCAACAGTACCAACGGTTTTAAGGAATAGAACCGGTACCAAAAACCAACGTTCACAGTTGAGAACTATAGTACAGCCGACCAATTATATGAGTTAATCAAGTCCCGAGGTTATTGATCTCTTGGTTTTGGATTTTCTCGTAAAACGTTTTAAAACGGCAATCAAAGTTATTTCCCATTAATTGCTTTATTTGTAAACAACTTTTAATATAAACTTATCGGTGTCGGTTTAAAAAAAAAACCACCTCATAAAAACAACTTTTTGTTATTTAATAGATTACGTACCTATTCTCTAAACAATGATTGGTAAAGGCTATCTATTAACATTAGAAGGTCTTCTTTCTGGTTATCAAAACTCAAGAACAATTTATACACAAAGAATCTCTGGTTCATTTACACGGTTACACTATTACGCTATATTATTGCACTTTCTATTAATTAAATCCGTTATGTAAGAAAAACGTTTTTAATCTCACTTGGTTGGGATTTGCATTCAAAACGTGATTGAAAAAGGTTGCGGTATTTGTAAACATATCAGTGACAGCTAGAAAAAATATTCTTGATCCGAACAGCTGTCCGTTATTTCATAGATTATGCAATAAAAATTGGACGAAAACTTTACATAAATCACACATAACTACATTTTTGAACGTTCGTAATATTATTTACAAAGTAGAGAGGCCATATTTTAATGGCTAAAGACAATCTCGCCAATCCAGTGAATACATTAAAATGACTTGGATCTTGATAGGTACTCTCGTTTTCCAGGAGAAGATAGCGTAAAATGCCATCTTGAGTGTTACAGACAGAGGGAAAGACAGACAGACAGACAGACAGAAATTGAGATAAGACTCGTTTCTGCTTATTTAATGTATAAGACGTAAAAATATCCTAAAAATATATAATTCTAAGCAATGTACAGACAAAACTCTAATTTTATTTATATAGATGAAAGTAATATTTACATTAAAAGAATTAAAGTAATATTTACATTAAAAGAATTAATTAAATAAGAACGCCTTCGAAAAGGAAACGCAACTACAACACGCTCCTGTATTGCGGGTATTGCATTGACTTTCTGCAGGCGTTTTTAATTTTTTAATTTTTTTTTTTTTATTCTCGTCTCGATAAAAATCTCGGCCAAAAAGTAATCTCGTCTCGTGTAACGAGATTGAAAATTTCCCGAAAATTTCCCGAAATTTCGAGACTTGACCATCCCTAGTTTTAAGACAGTACAAACTCTTCCCCCATGAAATAATTCAAAGGATACTGTGAATTCTATATCTTCCGAAGTTGATTTATGTGCCGTTTCCATAGCATATCATCAACAGCAACGGAGTACATCACTCTTCCAATTCTTTTCTTTATTTCACCTTTTCTCCAAACAATTTTGCCATTTTTCATCATTTCTCTTACCAAAACATGTTCACCTTCTTTGAACACTCTTATGGTTCCTTTGAAAGATGTACGTCCTTGTTGGGCTGTGCGAAAGGTAGGTTTCAACGTTGACTCTAGTGAAGGTCTTAACACATCTAACGAATTCCGCAGTTTTCTTCCAAACATCAACTCCGCCGGACTTTTTGTTGTTGTTGATGTCGGTGTTCGCCGGTGAGATTAGAGAACTTTAAGAAGTTTTTCTTTTAGGTTTCCCTTTGTGTCCAGGTCCACTTCTTTTCTTAAGTACCTTTTCACTTCTTGAACATAGCGTTCTGCTTGGCCATTGCTCAGCGGATTTTAGGGTGCAATGGTTCTATGAATAATACCATTCTGTTTTAAGTAATTACTAAACTCTTCTGATTTAAATATCGAAGCATTGTCACTCACCAATGTATAAGGTAGGCCGAATCGTGCAATGGTCTCTTCCAAAAACTCGATGGTTTTCTTTGATGTTGCTTGTGTCATGGGACAGGCTTCTTCTAACCATTTAGAAAATTAATCTACAACCAGTAATCAACCTCTCTAAGAATCGAACTGGCGATCTTCAGATTCAAAGGCTAGCACTACTCCTCAGACAATAGAAAAATTAAATTAGCAAAGCTACTATCAACTAACTAAGATATTTTTTAAATAGCTAGTTTTGACCTAGATGTGGAGTATAGTTATCCTGATGGTATGATTGGTTTTAGGTACTAAGTGATGACACCAAGAGGAAGCAATATGACTCATGGGGAGCAACGTCGGAGCAGATGGGTATGGGATCTCCTCCCCCTGGTGGGCAAAGTCAGGGATTCAACACACACAACTGGCAGTTCCACTCCACCATCGACCCTGAGGAACTGTTTCGCAAGATCTTCGGCGAAGGAGGATTTGCGAACGCTAATTTTGGAGAAGATTATGCTGAATCAAAATTTGGATTTGGTGCGGCTCAAGAGGTCAGTCAATGTATCGGACTGTTACATAATTGCCCTACTTTAATGTTTTGAATATAAAAAAAGTAAGTCTGTCGCAAGAGCTTGATCGACTTTCAATGAGAAATAGATCAAATACAGCTAAAATCGCAGAACGTTACGGGTTTCTGATGTAATTACTTGCAATTATGTTAACTATGCCTAACTGTGTCAGTAGGCTACTTGGCCAACAACTCACTTTAAATCTATTTGAAAGTGAGTTGGATAAAAGGCCATGAAAATGTACTTCAATGATTATTTTTTATTGGTCCAAGAGATAATAGATGCTAAGATAGTCATAAAACACAACACTGGAGGCATGATATAGGTCTTTTCTAGTTGGTAAATATGACAAGAAAAATAATTCTTAGAAATAATAAAATAATTTGCAGGTGTCGATGCGCCTGACGTTTACTCAAGCCGCTAGAGGTGTCAACAAGGAGATACATGTGAATGTGGTGGACACTTGTCCCAAATGTAATGGAACTCGCACTGAACCTGGCACCAAGGCCATCAAATGTCACATCTGCAATGGGACAGGTTATGAGCAGCTGTCTACCGGTAAGTAGCCTAACCTCTCCACAACACTGTGTATTTGTGATTTACTCAGTAGTCCTACACAGTTTCAAAACATACACTGCATCAACATGAACCCATACCAAACATTCACTATCATTGTGTAGCTTGGTTTAAAAGAATTATATGTACTCTTTGATATGTTTTGTTAAACTGATTGTAATTATACACAGCCTACTGTAGCAGGATCAAATACCTAATGATTCCAGTTTTATAGCATATCAATGGCCAGTAGCACTTACCAGTATTAATTGTTTGTAATGGAAATCAGTTCAAATCCAGTTTCATACCTTAAAAAAAAAAAATAAAGAGCATATTAATTAAATAATTTTTGGGCGTACTTGATTTTCAGGTCCATTTGTAATGAGGTCAACATGTCGGGCCTGCAATGGTACCAGGATGCTCATTAAATACCCTTGTGGAGAATGTGAGGGAAAAGGAAGCAATGTGCAGCGTAAGAAGCTTGTTGTCAGAGTGCCTCCAGGTAAACATCACTAGAAGAGTGGACTTTTGACATTCTTGTTAAATAGTTAGCGGTAGCTTGGAATTCAACGTTATCTGTTTTACCTTGATACATACAGTTTGGAAAATAATAATGAGTCGTCTTCTCAACTTAAAGAGTCAACTAAACTGTAAAAAATCCTCATCTCACCCTCTCAAAACTTAAAATTATATATATTATAAATTACTATTTTCTAAATTGAAATGATGCTATATTTATTTACTTTATAAGTGATGAAAAAAAACTCTATACCAGTTATCACACTCATATAAATCACTTACCTAATATCAATGGTACAGTAATTAATGTGGTGGGTAATTAATGATAAATTTGGAGGGCCGATTTACCGAATAGGCATGGTAGGCATGTGCCTAGGGCCCGAGACAAATGTCTTTTTTTTGGGGGCGCCAAACAAAATTATAAAATTTAAAAAAATGGTGGTTTTATTTTCATGCGATAGCAAAGCGGTAAACTTCTGGTAATCCCTCTCGGCTGTGAAGACATCATTATCGTCTCTCGTGGCCGTGTAGACATTGTAATCGTCACAAGCGATCGCAGAAAAAATCTGAATGTTTCCCGCGGTCGTGTAGACATAATTATTGTCTCCTATGATCGCGGTAATATAAACATGTCCCAAAATCGTCAGGAGATTATCGTCGTATGCCGCAAATGAGTCAAAACACTTATCTTTTCCCGTGGTCATGTGGACATTATCATCTTGTTGCGCGATCGAGGTAAAATAATGATAATCCCTCGTGGCCGTGAAGACATCATTATCGTCTCCCGAGGCCGTGTGAACATAGTAATCGCCTTCCTCGATTGCGGTAAAAAGGTAACCATCTCCCGTGGTCATGTGGAGATCATCATTGTCTTCAACTAATGAGGCAAAATTCTGATCTTTTCCCGTTGCCGTGTGGACATTATCAACGTCTTCAATGATCGGGCAAAATTCTGATTGTTTCCCGCGGTCGTGTGGACTAATCATCCCTCGCAACTCTTTAGATATCATCAATGTCTTGCGATATCTCGGCAAAATCTTGATCATCCCTCGCAGTCATATGTTGACATATTATCGTCTCCCGTGGTCACGGAAATGTCACTGTAATATATATTGCAAAGGGGCGCTACTATTAGTTGTGCCTAGTGCGCTGACAGCGTAAAAAAAGCCTGTAAATGTGTTAAACATCCATCCACTTAATATTATTAAAGTAACATTTGTCAACAAATATTTTCTGAGCAAAGAATGAAACAGAATTTGAACCAAAGTTTCAATGTGTACATGTTTAAAATGATTCAATATTTTTTCAGGAGTGGAGGATGGTCAAACAGTAAGGATGCCGGTGGGCAACAAAGAGCTGTTCATCACATTTAGAGTAGACAAGTCAGAGTACTTTCACAGAGATGGAGCTGACGTACACACAGATGCTGACATATCTCTGTCACAGGCTGTACTGGGAGGTACCATCAGGATACAAGGAATCTACGAGGACCACACAGTACAGGTATACCAACCTGGTAGAATTCACTGTCTAAAGAACATGTTCTGCAGTCACTGCGAAACTGTGATCGTCTTCTGCAGTCTTGAGAACACCTTCCACAGTCCAAAATTCCTCTGCTGTCACGAAGAAACCGTGAATTTTGTTTTCAGTCATGGCAATAGTAAATAATTATACTTTATACTTTATACTTTCTTATGAAATGGCGACCATACTATGTAGGTATTTTAAGCCAAGTATGAATGGAGATGAGTGTAGGATGAGTGGCGCGATCTTGTAGTCTTGTTAGTGACTAAGGCCGACATTCCTTAGACACAGCTGTTAATTAATAGCCCAAACAGCTAATGGCAACTAAGGGACCTACAGTTTATAGTGGAATCCGAACCACATTTTTTCCTTGGTATATACGAATTGGTCTAATTATCAGGATAGTACTGCGGATAGTAGTAGTACTCACTAGTGCGGACGTTAATCCACACCAGGGAGTATCCCATCCACAGTGTATGCCTATAAATATCCACAATCCGTGACCTCCAAGTAGCTGGATTACAGGACGACGCCACCCGTCCCAATTAAGCACACACGGCAAAATTGTGAACAGCTTTCACAGTGATGATGATATCGAAAACGAAAACATTGTATGCGGTCAATGTGAAATCGTGAACAACATCACAGGTCATGGAGAAATTGAGAATTCATCTGCAGTCATTGCAAATCAATAAATCATAAAATTCTTCTTCACACACAATGTTTTTTCGTGAAAATCTCTCGCGGTCATGGTGAAATAAAGAACATGTCCGCGGTCACCGGATAATCAATAACTTCTGAAATCCTGATTGTCTTCTGCGGACGCAATTAAGGCAAAATGATCAGTTTTCATTCGCACATCTCAAAAACGCTTTCTGCAATTCGTGAAAATAAACACTCAACTCGATCGAACCCGAGTTTGTCCTGATGCAACCCCAACAGTTGGTCCGACCCGATCCTGGTGGAAGACACCATGCTCTAGTTACGATAACCATTACCGAATCCTTGATTGTAGCCCATCTCTGGATAATTGCGTCAATTACACTTTCACAAACATATATTTACACTATTTACATTTGAAGTTAATTCATCAAAATAAATAACTTTCTGTTGCAAAAGCAGCAAGGAACTCTCATAAGTCCATGAAGGATTTCTTAAAATATTCTTTGACATGAGTAAAGGCTCTGGTTCCCTTGTTTCCTTCATTTTTATAGATTTTATCTCTCCCCACTCTTTGTTATTTCTCTCTTCCATTCACATGCAAAAATGCTGTTGACATGTTGATTAATGGCAAACATCTTTCCTATGAAACCCTGCCCCTTGTAGTCACATTGTTCGTATCTTACTCCCTTAGGTTTTATCATTTCCCCAGTGTAGGTGCGTAGCTCTACACCAGTCTTGTAAAGTCTTTTGGAGGAAAATTGTCTTTTGTAGTCTTCATAAAAAATCTATGTAAGTGATGATGTTCCAGTATCCAAGTCCAAAGTAACGTTTTTTCCTTCTAATTTTATTTCAATTGGAAATTTGTCATCCATCTTTTTATCGGACAATAAATTAATTTCATGATTGTTTTCTTCGAAAATGTCATTATTTTCAGTGTAATGAACTTGTCTTTTACTGGTTTTATGTTTACTAAGGCATACTCTTGAAATATGTCCGATCTTTTCACAGGTGTTACAGGTTTCATCAATCATTATTCATTGGACAAACATTCGCTCTATATTTTATATCCCCACATTGGTAGCATTTCCCTTCCAATGACTCAAAATCTGTTGTACAAAATTTACTTGTATGATTTAGTTCTGGATCCGTGAATTTGTTCATCGGATGTAATAATATTCCTAGCATTGAACTTCACTTGATTTATGTCCTTCCACTCTTTTGACATATCATGGTACTTTTTAATTTTAAGTTCTAAATAAGTTAATTTTAAGTATTAAATAACCAATGCTAAATGGTATTTAAGAAATGTCCTTTAATTTGGAATGTATTTACTAATTTGCCATTGTACTGTGGGTGATTTGTTATTCAAGCGTACTAGCTGCTTCACCCCGTTTGACAATAAATTGAAAGAATAACAAACTAATAAGTACAGCTGAGGTATTTTTAACATTAGGTATATGGAAAGTTCCCTTTAGGAAGGAATTACCTTAAAGGGCAATTTATGAAATAATGGATGTTGTGTGCAAGGTTTCTTGTCATGATGAACATTTTAAGTATATGGTTTATGGGGTTCTGACTTGTATTTTTCTCAAAAGTTCATGGGTACTTTGGGATTTATATATGGATGACAGTTCATTTATTAACATTTTTCTAAATCTGTCAGGGCTACCTATCATTCCATAAGACATAAGACCAATGTTAAATATATTAAAATTTCATTTAAAGTTTTTAACGAAAATCAAATTTTCCCAGAACAGTGGCTAGCTAGCATGGATATTGTTTTTAGCCTGAAACTAAGATATTCCTGACAATTTAGAGGGAATCATAGGAGCCGATTTTGAAATCATAGTGCGGAAACGATACTCGTGTTATGGTATAGATTCTATTATGTAACTCAATCATCATAGTATTAACAATAATAATATGTACAGAACAGGCGTCTATAAAAAATTATAGTATAGCCAGTAAATTTGGAAAGCACATCACTTATCAAATTTAATAATTATTTTAAATCTTTCAGATAGCGCCAGGAACTTCTTCCCACACCAGAATACGTTTAAGCGACAAGGGACTGAAAAAAGTTAACACTACAAGTCAGTACGGAGACCACTACGTGCACATCAGAGTAAAGGTAAATACATTATATTTTCACCAGCTTTTTCACAATTACGGGATGTTTTCCATTAGAGATGTGTGAGCACAGGTTTTTCAGGTCGAGTCGAGTTAGAGTCGAGTTTGCCTGTATAAACTATTTTATGTTAATCAAACCGATATGTTATTTTAACCAAATGAATGTTTTATATTAATTCGAGTTTCATTTGAAAAATAAATAGTATACGAACTGGGCAATGCTGATAACCTAATAAGCAGCTATTTATGCTATTTAGATAATTTTCTCAAGTATATTCCTTTATTCGTAGTTTTTTTTCATTACATTTGTTTTATGGAATAAAGATAGTCACTTAGCCTACATGTAAATCACGCATCAGCAGTTGGTCGCATTTCACGAATCTTTGACCCATACTGTGAGTAAAAGCTGTGTTTACGTTGTATGTATAAAGTTGGGCATACTTTGTTCAATGTTAAGAGGGTATTAACGGTCCAGTTTGATGGAAAAGGAGTCGTGGATTTTGAAACTATGTAGACTACCACTACCAGAAAGATGTTGATTCAAGTGAGACTTAGAACTGGCCATTTCAAATGCAGATTTGTATTATATTTTACTCAAATAGTTTTTTTGTCTCTTTTGACCCTTAATACTTTTTTTATAGTCACTGTTGATAAGATTTTCCATAAACTCACAATGTTGATAAGGAGTTCATTTTACCTTCCCCTTGTGACAACATTAGGAAAAAATATTTGTGTCCCAGTTAGTCTGTTCTGACTCAAAATTTATAGATTATTTGCAGTACTAACAAATCCAATCTAACGACCCCAATTAAAAAAATTGGTATTTTTTAGAAGGGACTTCCAGAGCACATTTAATTATAAAGTTGTATAACACTATATAATGACCCGAGTCAACATTGCCATTAAACATCAAGTCGTCACATACTTCTTCGCCAGAACCGAATGGTAAGTCACGGTTTCTCAAGCAACTTCCCTGTGTACTTGAAAAAAATATTCACTGATATATTGTAGTTCCACGTATCCCAGCGTACTCGCCAACTCGAGAAGGTAAAGTTTGGTACCACTGAACGTCTAACACTGATCTTGAGTAAGATTCGTCACCTACTATAAAATGTTTGTATGTTTCCCACTCATTAGCAATTATATGTACAACTTGCAAGCGGATTTCCCCATGATTATTCTGGTGGCCGTACAAAATAAATTATATTGATCAAAACAGTAAGTTTCTGTTCCCTACTATGGGTATTATTTCACATTCCATACTCAAACTTAAACTCAATTACCCCTTCAGATCACTTTGCAGGAAAACTAAAACATTTCAAAAATAAGTTAACAAATACACTTTCCTTCATCAAAATCGTGTGTTTATAAACAGAAACTCCAAGTTTAATAATTGCATACTGAAAGTGAGGTTATAAACATAATTACAAATGTCTGACAAACATTAAACAGCTGACGAATAATTTATAAACCGTGTATTATATTCTTCAATAAGAATTGTATTGACTCGACCTTTAAAGGGCTGTAGGTCGTGGCCCTTAGAAAAAACGTAAATTCTAAGGAAGTTCGGCAAATCTACACACTATCCCCTTTAATTTGAGACATAAATCTTGTAAATCGGTCCAGTAATTACTGAGAAAACAGTGTTACAACTGTGTATTAAATATATAGATTATAAAAAAATTAATTATTAATATTTGTGCATATCAATAAGTGAGCATATATCTATATATCTAATTCCGTAAGCCCAAAATTTTACAATGAAATTGTGAGCGAACAAGAGGTCGTAGAAAACTGGGAGAGGTCTCATTTTAAAGGTCTGGGCATGAAATTTTGGGGAAAATTATTAATTTTTCTTAATTATGCACCAAAAAGGTTGTTAGGGAATAAAATAATTCACATTTAAATAGCATGGGAATCTAATTGTATGTCTCGAGTACTTGTACATCTCTATTTTCCATAAAATAAAATATATAAAAGGCATTTTTTAAAACAACACTGGTTGGGTATGTTATGATTTGTACAGCTTTGCTACTGAGCAGTTATTTAGAGTACCTGTCCTCTGTATGGGCTTGTCGTAAAAGTATAAAATGCTTAAATTGAGTTGTACTCATGCTCTGCGTTTGCAATGGGGGAGAACATGGTTTGATATTTCTTGCTTTTATTCATTTACTTTATTCAATCCCTACATAAACATTTTTTATTTATAATTTTATCTACAATAGTCTATGTTTTTCAGCTATTTATGTAAAACACTGTCTAACCTCTCATCACCACTGTCATTGCCCAATACGCCGCCCGATTTGCCGTCGCTTTCACTGTCATTTTCACACAAAAGTCTGTCAGTCTCATTCAAGAAGATGCGATCAAATACGTTTGAATGCCCCATTCATTAGTTATAAAACATAAAAATAAGCCCGTAGCTAAGTTATAAGGACTTATCACCACTGAAAGTACGAACACAAACAAACACAAACGTCTGAACACAATTTAATTGAGTTTTGACGCTTAGAGAGTTTTTTTAGCAAATAGATTTTTTGTAAATAAAAAATTAGATTGTACTAACTGCTTCTATGTGTAGGCAAAATTTAATATTAAGTAAAATAATAACAGATTATGATTCAGTAAACTGAATTTTTTTAGATTCCAAAGAAACTCACTGATAAGCAGCGAGCCCTGATGATAGCTTACGCTGAGCTTGAGGAAGACACCCCAGGTATCATACGGGGAATCGCTCTCAAGAAAGATGGTAAGTTATATTTATTCATCGGAAATTGTCAAAAGTTTAGATTTAATTGTTAAATATTATGTAATAAGTGCAAGTACACAGAACTCAAATTCAGTATTTAAAGAAAGTTTAGAGAAAAAGTTTGAAACTGCCTTTCAATTGCCTTTTGGTTTACCTTTTGACGTTTTCCGCCAAACCCCACAGCAAGAAGTACCGTTGGATATTTCATTTCCACTCAGACTAAGACCTGATGGGTATGTGTGTATGAGAAGTTGAGGAACTGTGTTCCGCTTGTGAAAACAAAGATTAAGCGCTGGAGCCTGAAGGTTGGTGCGAGTATTCCAATCTCAATGGAGGCATTGCAGAAGGAATGTGTGTGTAAAATGTTATCATTTTAAAACTTGACATTGACTGCCATTTCTATTTGCTTGGACTGTAATGTTGTTCTGTTGTGGTTCCTAACAATACCAACTAACAACTTTGTGGCCTTAACTAGAACTACCTAGTGTTATGAATCCTACCAGTAGCTTTATGTAGTATTATTATTGTTGGTTTTATTCCCAGCGTATTAGCAAGATATTGTATGTTGCTTGTATATTATTTGTTTTATATTGCAGTATTAGAAAGACTCTGCAATGGCTGTTTATCTAATAGCAATTCCTTATCAAATATTGATTAAATTGAGAGTTTTGATTAGAATCTTAATTAACAATCAGTCTAGTGAGATCTATTTAGTACGGTAATTATTTTTTATTGTTAGTGATTGTGAATTACCAAATTCACCAAATTTTCAATAAAAAAAATACGTAATTAACTTGAACTTATCTTTCGCAAGCTTGATTCACTTGTCACTTTTCATGACTGAGAATTAGTTCAAAAACAAAGACATCAATGATAAATTTACTACAAATATTTTTTTCCGAATCGCTAGCTCACTTCCAAAGTATTGTAGCACTGTCTATAAATTAATATGCCTGTGCTTGAATGATCGCTTTAGCACCAAACCACTTTTTGACAGTTCATAAGTATTACCATTTCATTGATAGGTAAAACTTACTGTCAAATTTCAAACATATGTAAAAAAACTTTACATTTTTATCAAAATTCATGTTTATCTATATTTATTCTTCTCACTACAAAACAATAACCATATATTTAAGCCAGTAATTACAAATTTTGTTTTCAATTCATCTAACTAACACAAATTAATAAAGTTTTAATTCTGTTTTAGGGAACCCTAATCTAGATGAACAGCCATTGGCAGGGTCGGAAGAACGCTTAAAGGAATCTGAGGACGGAATTTTAACAAAAATTAAAAAAGCTATATTTGGATAAACGGTAGTATTGTGAGTTAAATAAATCAATTGTGTGTTTAATATCAATGTGTTATGTCAGTTTAGTAGTCCTATTGTGTGTTGAATAGGGACTAAGATTATTTAAGTGGATGTTTAATTAAATACATAGTTCAATAATCTTATAAAAAGATTTGAAACATTGTGAGGTAATCATTAGGCTGGCTAGGTTTTGCTTACTTACTGTATAATAAGGGGTGTAACAAGGTATTGGCAAAAAAAGGCCCCCGCCAAGGGCGCAGGAAGCATTGGTGTGCAAAATTGGCAATTGAATAGTTGTAAGAATAATTGAAAATATTTTTTTATATTCACAGTTCTAATGGAATTGTGGTAGGCTACTAACTAGAATTGAAAAAAGATTGTCCATACTTCGCCACGTAGAATAATATAATTATGGGAGGAGCGGAGCGCTTTTGTATGTTGTACGTCGAACTACCGCCCAACTTAATGTGAACTGCAAGGCGGGAATTTTTTTGGTAGGATAGTTGGCAGTGCAGCAGTGCCTTTGTATTTTGTCTATTTAAAAGTGAGTAGTATAGTGTTTATATAGTCAATGGTAGTAGTGACAACAAGGTACCTAACCGGCTTAACATAATCTGGCCACAGACTGATTAATTGTTTATGTTAATATTAACACTGTTTTTTTAAATATCTTAAAATTAAATTGCTTATGAAGTTTTTATTCATTTTCGGTTGTTATTGGTCTTAATAGACAATAGACCTATAGGTAGTGCGCTCAAGGGTCGGCCTCTTCGCTGCACTACGGTATAAATCAGCCAACCCGTTAAAAGATTACGAAACACTGTTGTACCGGTTCAAACTACACATACTATTTTGTACAGTATATCACGCAGAAGATGATGTCTTGAGTATTGCTGCGCCCTTGAAAATATTCCCATAAGAGTAATGTTAAACTTGTGACCGTATAACACCTTCCCAAGTCGTTATAAAAAAATAGTTTTGGGGTCAAATTAAAGATAAATGTTCTTTAGGGAAATGCCTTTTTTATAACAAACTTTAAAATTGTTTACGGTAAATTAGAGTTTGTAAAAAAAAGGCATTTCCCTAGAGAACAGTCATACTGTTATTGTGACGACAAAATTATATCGTTGCACTACTGAAGACTCTTAAATAATCATCGTGGCCGAATATTCAGCAGCTATGCTACCTAAAAAAATGCCATGAGATATTAAAAAAACTTGCTAAAATACACAAATCTTACCATTTTAAATTCCTATGAGATATTTGTAAAAAACTTTATAAAACATACAAAACTTACTATTTCACACCTAAAATTGCAAAAAACTACCGGAGAAGGACCCCCGGTCCCTCCTTTTGCTGAGGCTTGCGCGGACTAGTATTATTCGCCAAGGGCGCCACATACTCGTAGCTACGTCCCTGTGTACAATCAAAAATTCAAATTGAGATATCTTGTGTAGATTTGTTTTTATTTGTTATGGTACCTATCTTTAAACAACAGTGTAATGTAAACACCTATCATGTGACCCCTCATTTTAAAGGAACCTAACCTAATCAAAATGGCAGCCATTTTAATTATTTAAGATGAGAAAGCAAGATAAAGTCTAGACACCCCCAGTTAACTTTAAAAATGTAGTATTTTAATACTGACCAAAAGGTGAATTCTCTTTTTTTGTAAAGGTATGCTGAGTTTAGTTTTCCTGAACCTGTTAAAAAGTTAATAGGGGATATTTAAAAATGACTGCCATTTTGATTAGGGGTGCAATATGGACCTCTAGTTTGCGCCATTTAATTTCTCTTGAGAAACAATTTAAAATGAGGGGTCACATGATAGGTGTTAACATTTGAAAATTTGGGGCTGCCCCCAAAATACCTCATTTTGGGGGCCGGGTACAAGTTCTAAATTTAATGAAAAAGTGTGTTTCTTTATGTTGTAAACATGTGCCGAGTTTGGTTTTCCCACTGCCACATGTTATAAAGTTAACTGGGGGTGTCCAGACTTTATCTTGCTTGCTCATCTTAAATTAAAATGGCTGCCATTTTGATTAGGGGTGCAATATGGACCTCTAGTTTGCGCCATTTAATTTCTCTTGAGAAACAATTTAAAATGAGGGGTCACATGATAGGTGTTAACATTTAAAAATTTGGGGCTGCCCCCAAAATACCTCATTTTGGGGGCCGGGTACAAGTTCTAAATTTAATGAAAAAGTGTGTTTCTTTATGTTGTAAACATGTGCCGAGTTTGGTTTTCCCACTGCCACAGGTTATAAAGTTAACTGGGGGTGTCCAGACTTTCTTGCTTGCTCATCTTAAATTAAAATGGCTGCCATTTTGATTAGGGGTGCGATATTGACCTTTGGTTTGCGACATTCAATTTCTCTTGATAAACCCTTTAAAATGAGGGGTCACATGATAGGTGTTTACATTTGAAAATTTGGAGCTGCCCCCAAAATTCCCCATTTTGGGGGCTGGGGCAAAGTTGTAACTTTGATGAAAAAGTGCAACTTCTAATGTTGTAAATATGTGCTGAGTTTGGTTTTCCTACTGCAACTCGTTAAAAAGTTAACTGGAGGGTTCCAGACTTTTGCCTAACCCTGTATGAGTCTCCAATAAAAGAAATCTAGTATCTCCTGAAGTAGAAGTAATCCTGAAGTCCTCTTTATGGCGATTGGTTTTGAAGTCTATGGTGTCATTGTCAAGCTAGACGCCATAGACAATGAGGTTATAGATGTCAAATCTGGTTGCCATATAGACGACTTCAGGTTACTTGGACGAAAGAATATAATTTAACTTGTATGTGAGAAATTAAGGAAAAGCCAATTGGCTGATGAGGAGTGTCATATACAAGGATTAGGGATCAGCTAGCTTACCTGGTAGATACGAGTCCAGATTAGCATTGGTAACACACACAAAACACATAACACAAAACAGTAAAACTTAATATTTCGTCTCTATTAGGGACTTCATTAGAAGGGAGAATAAAGAAGATTTACAGTTACAGTTCAAATTTAAAAGTTCCGCTACAGTGCTGTTAAATTGAAATAAAAATTAAAAATTATTGCTATGTACATCTATATATACACACACTCATATACACAAAGTAGGTTGATTAAAAGTTAAGTGAAAAAATGTGAAGCTAGCTGAGGAAATTGTTGGGTGGATTATCTGATATTAAGGTCAGGAGGGTTTCTGGAGTCAGTAATGTGGTAGGCTAGTTCCCACCTTCTGAGGAGGGAGCTGTTGCATTGGGCTTTGGGAGGAATTTGATGGCTTTTGTGGTAAAACATGTATCAAAATCTAAGTTGTGGTTTGCTACATAATGCATATAAGGCAATTGGTTTGTATTTGTTGGTTTTAACATCCTATCTATATCCATTCATCCCTTTTCTTAGTGATTGGGTGGTATATATTGGGCTTGGCAGTGATTGCACTGTAGCTGGTAGATAAGGGTCTCATTATTCCAGGTTATGGATGGCAGCTGTTGTAGTGTAGGTACTGTCGGTGGCTGGTGGGTTTGGTGTAGACAGTAGTAGAGATTGAGCCATTTTTCAGTTCCACCATGACGTCAAGAAAGTGAACTGTAGCTTCAGATAATTCCCAAGTGAATTTTAATGTTGATAATAAATGTAGGTTGTTTAAAATATGGTTGAGGCTATCTTGAATAAGAATAAGAATAAGAATAAGAATAAG